CGCTTAACCCATCTAGGCGTGCATCACCCAGCCCAGCCTGGCACCACAGCCTTGCATCACCAGGCACCTGAGAGAAGCAACCTTGGAGCTGGCAGCCTCAGAGCTCCCCAGCCCTCCCTCAGGAGTGGTCGTATTGCACGCTGTTGGACTTTCACGCCCAGCAATTCCCTTCATGAAAGCGCAGGAGTTATCTACGCCGACGTAAAGATTTGAGCCCCATTCAGAATCCTACTAAGCATCACCTGCAACTATTTCTCATGACAGCAAGTTCCAAAAATTGAACTACTCAGGAAAAAAAGGGCTGGATTTTAGCAGCTATGAAGGAGTCGTCACCACATAGCATGAGACTTGGTAAAGAAAGTGTGGAATTTACCTTTGTATCACCATCATTTTATATATGTGAATGATTCCCTGTTCTCACCCCACCTTGTGCCAATTTTTGTGCTCAGATTCAGTGTGCAGAAGGCACCATCATCTTGAATTGTGTACCTTTACCCTCAGAAGCTCTTTAAAAGGCCATCTCTTTCCCAAGGGAGAGAGTATGTAATACCTACAGCTATAGCAGACAGAGAGGTTCTGGCATTCACCTTGAACTCCTGAATCCATCTGCCCAAACCAAATGACTGCAATAATCCAATACCTGTCTCAAGCCCTTTGACAATACTTTGTGAAATGCAGGGAAACTGCAGTATATGGGAAAAGAATAGCTGTAAAACAGAACTCAGCCTTTATTTCCATCAAGTCAAGTAACAGGAGATGGGTGCAAAATTAAGATCACCTGCAGAGGTTTGAATTGGTTGGATGGTCATACCCAGAGGGTAGTGGTCAATGGCTCAATGTCCAGATGGAGACTGGCAACAAGTGGTGTCCCTCAGAGGTCCGTACTGGGACCAGTACTCTTTAATATCTGCATCAGTGACATAAACAGCGGGATTGAGTGCACCCTCAGCAAGTTTGCAGATGACACCAAGCTGATTGGTGTGGCTGACATGCCTGAAGGACGGGATGCCATCCAGAGGGACCTGGACAACCTCGAGGAGTGCGTCCAAGTGAACCTCATGAGGTTCAACAAGGCCAAGTGCAGGGTCCTGGCCCTGGGTCAGGGCAACCCCCGGTATCAGTATAGGCTGGGGATGAAGGGATGGAGAGCAGCCCTGCTGAGAAGGACTTGGGGGTCCTGGTAGGTGAAAAGCTGGACAGGAGCCAACAATGTGCACTCATAGCCCAGAAGGTCAACCGTGTCCTGGGCTGCACCCAGCGTAGTGTGGCCAGCAGGGCGAGGGAGGGGATTCTGCCCCTCTGCCCCACTCTGCGGAGACCCCCCTGCAGTGCTGCGTCCAGCTCTGGAGCCCTCGACACAGGAGAGACATGGACCTGCTGGAGTGGGGCCAGAGGAGGCCCCAGCAATGCTCCGAGGGCTGGAACAGCTCCGCTGGGAGGACAGGCTGGGGGGGGTGGGGGTGTTTCGCCTGGAGAAGAGAAGGCTCTGGGGAGACCTTATTGCAGCCTTCCAGTACTTCCAGAGGGCTTATATGAAAGA